TGGGACATTCCATATTTCCAATTTCTCTGTTGTCATGCGCTCTTTCGGTGACCTCCCCAAACAATGAGCTAATACACAGTGAGCTACTAACAGGGAGCCACATGGCATATCATCCCAATAACTTAATATGGAACAAAGAGTTACTGTTATTAAAAACCATATATGAAAAAAAAATCATTTAAGGGGTCTGAAAAAAAAAAAAAAATATTCGATTTTTTTTTTTTCTTCTTCTTCTTCATGAAATACAAGTTTACAATAAAATAAATTGAGATATGTTGGTATCTTTAGTTTCCTTTCAATTTACGTAATGTTCACTATTTAATTCAGAGATTTTTCTGATTACTCCCACTATAGAGTACATTTCACAATGAGTATAGATTGGCCCCTAAAACTACTTGCGGTCCCCTAAAAATGTACGTTTTGGGGGCCTGGCTAGCTCCCTAAAAAAAAAGTTAAGCATGAGCCCTGTAAATAGTAACATAAGTTCCTTTCAGCTATCTTTATTTTAATTTATAATTTTTCTATTCTATTCAGTTATAAATGCAAAGAGTTGTCTATCTAAATGTCTAAAGTTATAGATCTTAACATATATTTATTTTATGTAAGTTGCCATTCATATACTTTATATCACACATTTAACTTGTTTCCATTATAAATTGCTGATGATTGAATTTGTAAATTCCAAAACATCTTGTTAACAAAATGTTTGCTGCTGTAACTGTGGGGTATTTGTTTGTTATTAAACTTTAATTCTCACCTGATGAATCCATTATAAATGCCTTATAGTGCATTGAAATAACAAATCTTTTTGTATCTTCTGTCTTTCCTCTTCTCACCATAATAACTTCCATTTCACATTATTTCTCTTAAGACTCTCCTAGTGATATGTCTATATATATATGTAAAAATATGTTTAGTTATGATAATTAAATTAACTGTAGTTCAGTTTTCCTATGTAGCAGTCATACATGTTTTATAGTATTTTGCATTCAAGTAATCATCACGTACCAATTAAAAGTTGCTATTTAACTTCATGCGTCCATTCATTATAACTATATACCTGTCTTGCTAAAGTATATATAAAACCTTTTAATTTCATACATGTAACATGGCATTTTAAGGTACAATTATTTTTGTTTTGATACAAATACTGGAATGTTAAGTAAGTTAAATTTACAGTTAGAATGATGGGAACACATTATGTGTAGGATTAAAAATGTTAGTAAACTTGTTTTGTTCTTTCATGTGCCTTCATTGTATATAAATAGAATGTTTTTTTGTATGTTTACTGAAGATGCATACAGTGGTGCATGAATTTAGAAGAAATTGTTTATTTTTACTCATAATTATATTATAGCTTGTTGGTACAATTACAATGAGGAATAAAAATATTATTTGACAAATGCCACTATTATGCTAATTTTTTCATGCTACTTGACAAACAAAAGCATATAGAATGACAAGACTGGTTAAGACTTAAGAAACTTAGATTTTTTTTTTTGTACTCTAATGCTGTAGAATTCAAAGATTAATGTGTACCAGTGAAATTTCTCAGTATCCATGATATAATTATGAGGTTTGTATATTACAGACTTACATTCTTTTCTTTCCTGATTTAGCAAATATGTAAGTGTGGGAGTTTGAGATGCAGAGGCTTCATAGGTGGAAGATCTCAACGTTTGAATCAGACTCAAGCAAAAGAGGAAAAAGAAAAAAATAAAGTTAACAGCACTTCACGTGAAAAAAGGAAGAGAAAAGAAAAGCAAAAAATTAAAGCCAAAAAAGAAGTAAGTGTATTTTTCTTACAATTAGGGGATCCAAAGTAGTGTAACTATGTCATACTACACAAGAAAGAACTCTTGGTCAGAGCTCTTTGTTATTCAAGTATTCCAAATAGATTGAAAAAAAGCAGTTGCAAAAGTGAGACTTAATTGTAGTTAGTTATGAACTGTACAACTTGTGATGAAAAAACTTTAATTGACTTTTGGTTCACTGAAAGGTACGTCATGATTAGTTGAAGCTTTAGTGGTAAAATTCAGGATTCACATCTTTTGTTTGTATTCCAGATTTATTAAAAACTTCTATAAATGTTATAAGTAAGGTTGGGATGTAGAAAAATGACTCACTATAACAGTGTTTGAATTTAATTTTGTAGGTAGTATGGGTGGAAAATTTCAAGTACCATTATCTCCAGAACCTTCATTATTTTTAATAATTCGTTTGAGCACTTCCATTGTCTCACTTACTAAAATTTATGAGAGTACGATGTAATACTTAACTCTTTCCTTAGGGATACCCTTTTCTGCACATGTCACTAGGTTTCAGTGAGTTACATTCAAAATGTAGTTAAACTACTTTATTATCATGGTATACGAATAAACATGGCATAAAAACGTAGATAATAAATATTTTTTTTAAATTCTTAATCTCACCAAGAATGTGAATTGTGACATTTACTCTCAAGGTCTTCCCTCTTCTTTAATTTAATTATCACCCCTCCAAGGGGTACAGAATTCAACATAAATTACTAATTATAATATAGTTAATATTAAGGCAAAGCATAATTTTTATAGCCTTCAATCTTATTTGGTTATGGAGCCATAAACTAGAAAATCAAACCCCTCTTGCCATGCCCACCTGTCACATCTTCCTTTCACAAATTACTTGTAGTTCTCTCTCATATTTAATACTATATTATTTATAAACCAATAGAAAGCCAAAAGTTTAATCTATCGAATGAATTATTATGTTGTTTTCTGAACAGAGAATTGTCTGTTTCGCTTCCAGTTCAAACTTTATTCCCACGGGAAATACGTTTACAAGCGTAGCTAAATTTTTAACGGCTGTTATCGCATAGTAAGAAAGCCAGAATAATTATGATAGTTATAAGATATTTTAAGGTGTTCACTAGCTATTGTTCTATGATCTTAGATGCATTATTTAATTAAATAAAAAAAAATATTTTAGTGCAGTAGTACCATTAGTATAAAAAAGTAGAAAGTGTCATTGACAATCAACAGCAAAAATAAATAAAGAAGACCCAGATAACTACTATATTTCTTGTTTTTCATGTGTATTCTTTATTTATTATTATAAAAGTAACTAAAATGTAAAAATTAGGAACTTATTAGGTTAATTAAATAAAGGAAAATAATAATAATAAAATATTTCATGAGTTATGCTCACGAGTAGCCTGTGCATTATATAATTCACTAGGGTAATGTGAGCTACACGTTTGCCAAGTGATTTACACCTTATGTGGCAGATTATTAGACACAGTTCAAAGGGCAATAAAACAAAATTTAAGGAAAAAATGTGTATACTTTACAAGTTTTAAGCTATTTAGGATAAACAAACTTAATTTCTTGTTAAAGTATGGAGTCATTCTATAAAGAAAAAAGGGTAATTTAGATTTATTTTATATTTTTTTATGGTGGTTATGAGATCAGTCAAATTGACTAACCTGTAGAATGAGGGTAGATAAAATATAAAGTTTTACTGAATAATAATGTTTGAAATTAACTTATGAGGATTTAGAGATTATGAAAATGGAATTTGACAATTTTAAGATGAAGAAATGTATTTTTATTCTTAATATGAAAATCACTTTTCTGTAGGAGCAATCAACACTTTGACTTCATATATTCTTGGAGAAATTTTTAGTGAAAATACTTCATTAAAAATTCTGATTTTTTGTCTACAAAAGACCTTTAATGTTTACTGAAAACTTGCCATATATCATGAAGATACATTAATCATTTCCATAGTTATAGTTTTTATACCACAATGTTTACAAGGTCATGTAAAATACAAGAGCCTGGTGTGATAGGGTTAATATATTTGTTGTTATGCAAAAAGAAAAAGAAATCTCTCATTTTAATAGCATACCACATGCTGCAGGGTTCTTATTCCTTTAATCCTTGCTATCTCCTTAAACTGTTGTGGACCACTAAAACACAAGTGTTGTTGAAAACCATTACAATTTACATATGAAAATTCTGTCAGATTTTATATATTTGTTGGTTTTTGTGAAACCTACAGACTGGCCAGGTGGTTTTAATGGACCATCACTAGTCCTCGGACTTGTGGTCTTCAAAACTTACATGTAGGTCTATTCTACCTACATGAAATTAGTAATCACAGCAAGTGGTATTTACTGTTTTTGATTGAAAGATAGGAAGTAAATTAAGGATTCAATTATAAGTATATAGCAGTGGAGGCAAAAATAAATCATACATTGAAGCTTGAGGATTCAGCAAACTATTTAGGACTTGGTGAAACAGGAAAAAAAAATTAACCAAAAGGCAAATAATACATAAAACTTTTTGAGTTTTGTAGTTCTTTTTGACAGTTTTAGGAATGTTAGTAATTGATTAACAGTTGTTTGGAATGATGTTTTAATTTCAGAAATGGTGTACTGTGGAGATTTGTATGCTTTGAAATGGCCAAAACAATGCATCATTATTGTTTTAGCTACTTATCAACATTGGTATAAGTGAGTTTTTTCCAGCTCAACAAAAATAAGTATTCCATGAGCTTAAACTATTTAAGCTTCTAGATATTTCTTTATTAGAATTACAGAAACCTAATAAATAATGAAACTCATGCCAGCTAGGGTGACTATTAAGTGTTTTCAACACTGTTACTCCTTTTCTGTATCTAATCTGCAATTTTTTTGTTATTCATCCAGGAAGTTGAACATTATAATTGTGCAAGAGTATAAGTTATTTCAGCTTTATTGTAGCTCATTTTAAAAATGACATCATCGTGATTTCAAAGAATTACAGCTGTGTTGATCCTCTAATGAAGAACATAACATACTATTTGTAATTGATGATATGGATCTTATTTAAAGTAATGATACAAAGAATCAGTTGTTATAATCCATTATTGTTGACCAGCCAGGAAAATCATTTTATTGACAACAGTTTAATACAGTTTACTATACACACAAACACATATATTTTTTAAAAACCATATAATTACTTGGTTAATGGAAAATAAATATAATGAAAAAAAAAGTTGACAAGTTCACTTTTAAATTTTGTTAAATATCATCACCCTCATTAAAGTTATAGTTGATGACTGTCTTTTGTTAATGAAGTCTGCAAGATTGTTTTACCAAATGAAGTGTACCTATTTTTTTGTCAATAAAAATTGACAGTTTTTTTCTATTGTTATTTAGTAGTGCTTTGAATACTGAAAACATCTGAAAAATGGTAAATATTAGGAAAGAAACTTCTTTTCGTATGCATATGACACAGATTAATTTTTATTGCATTTAAGTGCAGTTGAAAATTAATTTAGAAACAAAAAATGGAAGAAAAATAAGGTGAGTAAGGCTAGAAAAGTTATTTCAAATTGCTCTGAATATGTTTCTTAAGTTATATACCCATACGTTTTTGATAACAGGAACTTATGAAATTATTAATCCAATATTGATTCATTGGTTTAAGTAGAAGCTCTTCCACACATTTCCGAATCCAGTTAGTTATAGATACTGATCATGTGAATCATGAAACCTATTTGGTTTCACAGATCATTACATATATTTTGATGGGTCTAATACACTTCAAACACAAATTTTGATATTAAAATTTGTCACTTGTAATGAGAATTTCATGTTCATTATTAATCATAATTAACTTGCACAAACTTTAGATACTATTGCCCACTGGCATTTGTTAAAGAATCATAAAGTAGCTGTAGAATCCACACTGCATTAAGAACAAATACTAATACAGCTCTGTGTATGGTGTGTCCCATATATAGCAACTGCCCATTTTTAATTTTGTATGAAACCTTATGTATGATGATACCTCTTTATTGTACGTAACACAATCAAGACTACCAATTTTCAGTTAGCTTTCTTTACGATATTAATATTATATGAAATAAAAATGCATAATAAAATTAAATACTTTTATATAAAATGATCTATGGTGCTGAGATTTACTTTGTGTCATATCTTTTTTATTATTGATTTAGTAATCAAAAACTTGTATTTGTGGCTCTGTTGAGTTGCTCATTTTATAATATTATGGTTATTACGTTATGGGTGTCTAGTAACACATTCTATATCTTATTATTTATAGACCACTAGAGAAGGATTACCACAGAGTAAACAAAGCCAGCTGCTACCAGTGAAACCTATTTCTCATCAACAGAGATGTTTTGTTCAAAAGCATCGCTGTTTCCTCTTGAGAAACTATGACAAGGTTAAAAGAATGAGGGACAGGACAAGACAAGACTTTGACAAGCAGGATTTTGACTGTATTAGAGATATTTTCTTCAGTAAGCAAGGTATGTTTTAGTTAGAAAAAATATAGAGGAATTAGGTTTCATCACTATCTGCTAATTTCTGTGTTCACATTGTTAATATTAATTGTTTTACATTTTCTAATGTAAATGGTTAAAGCATATTCTGTACTGAAGATATTGTGTGCAGTTGTTAATTCATAGAAAACTTTTGCAGTTGTATGATCTAAGAATTGTTTTTAAGTATCAAAACATTTATTTGAATTATCTGAAAACCAACTATCATGTTTTATAAGATTGTATGCTGAAATTGTGTTTGAATAGTGTATTTTCTGGCTGTATAAGATAATGGTCTTTAGTTGTGGGTTGGATATATCACAACAGAGGATTTTTAAGATATAAACTACATGTATTTATGAATATTTTTATTAATGAAAAGCGTGTTTTCTTTTTTAGATGATTTTTTGACACAATTTACTGCACTAAAAACTTCAAGATCAGTTAAAACAAGGTGAGTTAAAATCTTTATTTGAGAGAAAAAGTTTGGAAATAAAATTTAACTAGCAGAGTACTAATCTGAATATACTAATGATATAAGTATTTCTCGTTGTTTTATTAATAAGTTACACTATTAAACACATAGATATCATATGTAAAAAAAATTAACAAAAATACTGAACCATATTCAGCATGTTTCGACACATCCACTCATATTAATCCCCGAAGAAAGCATGCATCTATAGATGAAACAGTTACTTTCTAGAACTAAGTACATTAGTAAGATAAAATTCAGCTGTTGATTAGTAAGCAAGTATATATTTTTTAACAATACAATATGTAGATATGAGTTCTAATCCTCCTCTTGGCCTCTATTACACTACCTACTATTCAGATTAAAATTTATATGTAAGTAGCTAAAAGCTTGTGTAAAATATATTAAATACTGTTGAAGGATGAACAAATTAAAAAACAACCATTACTTTTAGGGTATCTTTACCACTTTTTAAATGCAAAAATTGTAATTGTTATTAAACAGTTCTCAAACCATTTTTTCTGGTACTTTAAGCATTGTTTTTTATTCGCTTCTGCAAATGTTTTCAGTAAGTTATTTTCATGGTATCTGGCTCTTTTTTGGCACTGCATTTTTGTAAATGGTTATATGCCAAAAAGTGATACCTTTCTAAATCTGATGTTTAATTAACAAGGTCAGAGGTTGAATATTGATTGAATTATGAGGTTTTCAAGTTGACTTTAGTATTATAAAATGGTGGCCAAATTGGTTGATTAGTAGAACTTGATAATCAATTAATCATCAAGCTCATAAGTCAATTATTCTCACATGAGTTGGATAGCTAGAATAATGAAAAACACAAATTTTGATTAGTTGTTTATTTTCATGATACTAATTTATTGAGCTGAACAACCTTGAGTTAATCAAAAATAGTAATGAGAAATTGTACTGGCAATATATTGATTACTTTTGTATTTGAAATAATCGAAAACATTTATTTCGATGAGCTGATTACTTTTGTGAGATTAATCTATTTAATAAAAGTTTTGATTGTTTTACATTGCACTAATCAATGTAATACATACTTATAAGTTATTGAGTTAATTTCCCAGTTCAAAATTGTGGTGGACCAAAGATTAAAGATTACATACTGATATACTGTGGATGCTTTCCAAACGTTTATTACATATCAAGATTGAAAGGGGGAAAGTAAACCAAGATAGAGACTCTTATGTGACTAGACCCTTTGTTTATTTAATGGGAATTTGTAATAACTATAGGGTTTAGTCAACTTTCTCACCTTTGCTTCCTGGCAGCAAGTAGCTACTAGCATCAATTTTTTTATTCAAAAAACCTATATAGAATATCAGTACTTCAAAGATTTCTTTTTCACAAGAATAACAAAAATTTTAAGTTACAAAATCATACCTAAAATTAATGTTCACTTCAAAGCTAGAAATAATAAAGCACTTGGACTGTAGTTTTGATGAAGTAACAACAAGGATTTTATTTCTATTACTCCTAATTTATAGATTAATATGTATAGATTAGATAGTATTCAATTTGTTTATACTAAGTATGATTATACATGAGAGAAACTATTGTATCCACTAATAATTTAAGGAGTAAATAAACATGTATTAGTGTTTAATAGTTTATTTTTGATCCTGTAGTTCCATGGCATAAGTTTGTTTTTGTTTGTAGAGCAAATTGTGCAGTTTAAGAAAGTTGGGCATATAATACATTTTTATTTTCAAAGTACTTATGTCAAAAGTATGTTTCATTAGCTCCATGGCCATGGTATGCTAAAATAAATAATGTTGTTCGTATGGATAATGTTGAACAAAATTCGTTTTTATGTCATTTGGTGAGAAAAGGAAAACATTAATAAACTAGAAACTTTTTTGAGCTTACTCTCATAAACAGCCATGATTAAACCCACCTAAAAATCCAAATGGTAAACCTGGACACTTAAATTATTTATTTGTTTTACTGATAGTCTTAACCAGTCATATAGTTGTGAAAGCTGATTAAATCCTGATAGAAGAAGAGTGTGACATTAGGCAGTGGAAATGTTGAGGCCACCTTAACCCTTTCGAGGCGGGTCACAGGTGAAAGGCCATGTCATCTCGTTTGTTGAATCACACTCAAAATTTTATTGAACTACTATTTCATGAATTTATGTCAGTAAGTTTGGAATCAAACTGTAGATTATAATTCAAATTTTAGAACTATGCATTACTCAATTTGTTAATTTAAAAGTAAATATTAAAACACCCAGATGTGTGTCATGTGGTATGTTGAATGCAGCACTGGTCCAAATTAGATGTTTGTGAAGTCAAAATATTAAGTCTATAGTTTCATACGAATTAGAAACTCAAATTACAGATATTGCCAATCTAGAATATAAAATAAGAATGTCTTATCTTTTCTATTTGCTAACATATTGCTCACATAATAAATCAAACATAGTGGCACTCTGCTCATCTCCTTCCATTTTCGGAAATGCTCCCTTTTATACACTTACTTCTATATATGACATGAATAACCAATCAGAAGCTCAGAATGTCCCCCTAGTGGTTTTCTCAGCCTTTCTAATGTACCTAGCGCCATGTCTTTCTTTTAAACCAAGATTTCAATGAGGTAGGTTGTGTCTTTGGTCGGATCAAAATTTCATATTTTTTTTAGACCCAAATACAGCTTAGTTACTAATTTTGATAAATTATAGTAGAATTTTATGGTATTGATGTAGTAGTTTATGATTTTTTTTGTCATTCAAATGTATATATAAAACTTAAAAAAATATTTTGTTTCATATCCTCCACATGCAAATGTTTTAAGGCTTAGCAGTTTACATCAATCAGCAACCAAGTACAAAGGTTATAACTAGAAGAGATAATTGTTTGCTTTACTTCTTTATTTACTGTTCTATGTTTTATGAAAAATAACTTTAAGAACTTATTTCAAAATAGCAATAATCTATATTCATATATAATGTATAATAATTGAAATGTGACTGTATTTTCCAAAATACTAGTCAACTAAAACACAGCCAAGACAAGTTACTTTGTACAGACCTAAGGTCACTTTTATGTTATTTGATATGGTAACATGAGTGCACATGTGCCACGTTGTTGTAACTTCTGTATTGTTAGCCAGGCACAGGTGAAAGGTCAATATAATAAAAATAATAAATGTATAATGTTATGAGATTTAAGCTATTTCATCTAAACATTTATGTTTTTGTGTTATAATTTGTGTTCATTCTAGAATGAAAGAGGCATAATTTATGTTTGTTTCCTAATTTTTTATAGTGGTTGCGAGATTGGTCAAATTTACCGAACCCATACAGAGATTAATTACTAAAAATAACAGATAAAATATAAAGTTTTTTCTTAAGAAGTGTTTGATAACTATCCAGACATTATAAAGATTTTGCACGTGAAGTTTAAAAATTTTCTAATGAACAAAAGTATTTTTAATGTTAAAATCAAAATTAATTTACATGATAGATAGGCAAGATGTGAAAAGAAAAATAAGGCATGAGAGAAACATTGCTTTACAAACTTTAAGACGTAATAAAAAAATTGGATATTTTGCGTATGAAAGCATTGTAATTTTTACTGATAAACTGCCAAAATTTGTTAACATTTACTAACTAATTTAAAAGTTATAGCATCAAAACTATAACAAGGACAAAGTGGTTACGAGGTTAGTTGAAAGAGTTAACAAATAAATACTCTTTTTCAGTCTAGAAGAACAATAGTTATATATATGAAAGTGCATGAGTTTCTAGTAATCTACTTGATATTTTTGGTGATCCCTTGTACTAATTGTTTCATCATGACTACTTTTTTCAGCAATTTGTTCAGGTACTTTCAGAACAACCTTGCCTATCTGAAATTTATCGTAGTTTACCAAAAACTGACAAATGTGATCAAAATACACTTCACTAGATGTGGGTGTTCATTCTATGACAGAACTTAATTATAAAGCCTTTTAAAATAACATGACTCTACCCCACAAAGGAAATTATTTTAGCTTTTCAGGAAAGCTTTATAGCATGATTCTACTCAGAAAATAATTTATGCTCTATAGTTTCATGCCTATCTGAAATTTATCGTAGTTTACCAAAAACTGACAAATGTGATCAAAATACACTTCACTAGATGTGGGTGTTCATTCTATGACAGAACTTAATTGTAAAGCCTTTTAAAATAACATGACTCTACCCCACAAAGGAAATTATTTTAGCTTTTCTTGAAAGCTTTATAGCATGATTCTACTCAGAAAATAATTTATGCTCTATAGTTTCATGCTTTCGTGTAAAAACTGTTGGATTTGAAAGATTTATTTAAAATAATTAAGACTTGCAAGGCCTATTTGAAGCCCATTTCTGATCCATTCTTTGCTCAAGTGCTGAAACTCAGATACTCTAAATGTTTTGAAATTAACATCTAATTAAAATTCCAATATAATTACATTTATTGTTATTTTGTTTTTTATAAAAAATGTATTGTTGGGCAGTTAACAGCAAACCCAGCTTGTTTTAGTCCATTGTTTAATTCCATTGAAAGTATATGTTACTGTATCTTAATATAGTTTTAGGATTAAGAAAAGTATTAGGTTTAATGTAAGTTTGTTACAGTGCAATGCTAAAAGTAAAATATTATGTCTATGACCAGATAACTATGAAATTTTTAATAGTTCTTAGGCACTGACTATAACATTGCATTTTCCGTTAATAGAAATCCTCAAATTATTTTGCTATATACTTCTGTCAGTGTATTTGGTTACTTATATTTAAAAATAACTTTTAATATTAATTAGTTATTTTTCCATTTTGCTTAAAGTTTTTCACTGAATTTCTATATAATCATGTAAAAAAATGCCTGGAAAACTGTCAGTCTTAAGATGAGCACTGCAAGCATACCTAACATGATGAACTGTGTTCATATATCATCAAGCAATTTTATCATTGAAGTGCATGAATTCTGCTGAGGATTTTAAAACTTGCAAGTCACTGTTTTTTAAAGATTTAAAAAAATACAGGATTTTTAAGCATGTTTTTCTTGTATGCAACATTCTGATCAGGGGTTTTATTATACTAGTAAAAGAAGTTCCATTTTTTCACCGTTTTGCTTCTTTAATTCCTATGCTTTGCTCCCACACTGACATTCATGGTAACAAAACAAGCAGAGTTACTTAATGTAGGAGGGATCTTATTCAGTTTTGAGTTTTGTCATCATTTTTAGTTCCTGTCTGAAAAAAGATGCTTAGTACAGTTTAAAAGGAAACACACAATCATCTGTACACAACTTCTTGTTCTTGTATTTAGTTCCTTGTTATGTTGTTCCTCTTCTACCTCCATCTGCAGGGTTTTCAGTTTGATATCCAGCTGACTTCAGGGTTCATTTCAGAATTCATTCTGTTACTCATGTCCTTAAATGTGCAGTATATGTTTGTTCATGTTTAACCATTTTGTAAATACTGGAACAAAGTATCAATGCATGCATAAAAAGTAGAATTGGATTTTAAATTAATATATATTTGTAAATTAGGCTTAATACTTTAGTGAACTTAATACAAAAGTTAGATATTGCACTATATTTACTTTAAATGGTTTTCTTTAATCTCCAATGAAATGTGTGATTTTACAAATACATGTTAATGTCAAATAAGTTGTGGTTATTTCCTTTTCTTTTTGATAGGAGGTTGGCGAAAGCAGAAGGAAACACTGAACTTACTAAAACTGCCAAATTAGCCCAAATTTTTAAAGAAATATTCACTGCTGTAGTGTCTTGTCGAAGTAAGTTTTTGCTTTTATGTGTATTTGAAAAAAATTAGTCATTGTCTGTAGACATAGGACTATCTAATTTGGTAATAAATATAATGCAGTTGCTGTTAATGCAATAGTAGCTCAGAAAAGTCCTTGTTTCTAATAAACAGTTGTCTGAATAGACTGTCAATTAAAATACACTAATAAAGTAATAATTGTAGTTGACTTATATGCACCACACCAAATCCTCCTCTTAATAGCATTTAATAGTTTAATAAAGAATTATCATTCATTAACACACAAATAATCACACTGTATGTTTTTAATATTATTCTGTTCGATATAAAGTACAACGTAGAATAAAATGTCATTTTTTTGTTATGTTACCTTATCTGAACTCTTACCAGTTGCAAATTTTAATATTGATTTTGTTATTGTTTTTTAACACTTTATTAGCACATTTAGTAAACATAATCATTGATATGTTTAGATGATGATGGAAAGCTGCTCTCAAATCCTTTTCGTTCAGTTCCTCCTAAAAGACGAAAGATTGATTATTATGACAAAATATTGGATCCCATCGACTTAAACACAATTGAGAAAAAGATTACAACTGGTCAGTACAAAACTGTGGAGGATTTCGAAATTGATTTCAAACAGTTATTTTGTAATGGAGAGGTAATATATATATATATAGTTCTATTGCTTTTACAAGTTATTTCTTTAATAGTTGCATGAAATTTCTATTTTTTTTTTCTATGTTTTTCTTCAGTTATTCAAAACATTTTCCAGCATGGTTCAAACTCTTCTGTCAGTGTTAATGTTTCTTGAGGATTGGTTAGTTAGTAGGCTTTAATAGTAGTATGTTTGCCAGCAGTTTAAATGCTTTTTTAGTCTTTTTGTTTGAAGTTACTTATGATCAGAAGTCATAAAAATGTAATTATGCACTCATTTATCATTATAATAAATAATATAGTTTTGTAGTTACCAAATATTTGTTAGGTAAAAAAGACAACATGAAATCTATAATTTTAAATTTTCTGTGGGAGGCTTGATTTATATTCTCAGTGTTGAATAGGAGGAAGTAAAATAAGGTGACATACATGCTATTTTTAATTTTTTTTGAAGGTTTATTATGGGAAGACCTCCGAGATGGGCCAAATTGTAATAAAACTTCAGAAAGCTTATGAATGTGCCAAAGCTAATGCCATTACTTCCATAGAAGATATCTTGGGTGAAACCCTTCCTTCCTCATTTTTGAAGACTCCTACAGAAGGTAAAGATTTTAACAAAAAAAAAAGGTTGTTATGTTTTTATATTAAGAAAACGTTAAAATGTCATTTAAGGTGTAATATCATAATGAATGTTGGCCTTATATTAACATAATGTTTCAAAATATTTGTGGATACATTTGATCACTGTGTGATTGCCATTCAGACCATTGAGTACTGTCCAGGTTTTTGTAATAATACATACTTAGCTGTAATTTTTCCTTATCACACAGCATTGTGAGGTTTTCATATCAACCTCTTATTACCAAAATAAAATCCTGGATATGATAATTTTTGACTGAAACACTTGACAAGAAATCATAAATGCTTGGCTTAATTTCTACTTTCCATTTTCTGGAGAATTTTTGTTTTGATTCTTATTTACTTTTCAACTAGTAGAAAATATTATCAATACATTTATATTGTTTGTTTGAAACTCAAGATTTGTTCTTTATTAGTGTCAAAACCAGTAAAAATAATTTATTTCACCCATTATTTAACTGTTTTATGTGCTTGCAACCTGAAAAATTATTTTGTATTCCAAAAATCTCTGAATAAAGACAGTTGCAATCTGTATAGTCAAGAACACAGCAGATTATTTTTTGTAGTTGTAGTCTATACCCAAATTTTGTTTTGCAAAGTACATTTATATGCAGGTACATATAATCCAGTTTTTTTCCAAGCATGTTATAATGACCAAGTTTTAATTATCTTTCTTGTGTATTCTTCATTGAAGATTTGCCTATTGTATTATGCAAGTTTATAATATTGATGGGTTTTTTTGTTTAGAACTATAATTTGACATTGTGATGAATGATTTGCTCACTGCTTTATCTTTACATTTAAATTACAGAGGTAATTTGAATGTAATACGTTTTGCATCATTTTATCAATAGCTGTTGTGTCCCAGTTGTTGAACAAAAGCTCTTTGTTTTTTGTAAATTAAATAAGTTTCTATGAAAACAAAACAGGAACACTGATGAAACTATTGCTAACATATGTGTAGTACAAATGCAAAAAATATATAAAATAGAACATTGAGAATTCAAGAGTTTTATAAAAGAGTCTCAAGAAAAAATTAATTTAATGAAGGAAATTTAACTTTGGTTAAAATTTTCGTTGTTTTAATATCTTAAAGTTTACAATTCTTGTTGCTTGATACTTAAGTTGCCAAATGAGTGTTATCAAACAGCTTAAACATGTACCTAAAGTTATATAACAAATTAAATAGTAATTATGATAATATCTTAATACACAAATTTTGACATTGTTATTTCTACTATAACAAAATTTTTTATTTTCCATAACTAATTTTGTCATCAGCATTAAACAAGCGACTTCTGACTTGGATTGTGTGCTTGATATCTCCACTTTGTATGGTTGGGCTATTTATATAACTTTGCATTTTTTTTTGCATTAACAATGTTTACTTGTAGATAGAGTCAAAACACTGCCACATGAAACAACGATGTTAATACTTTTAAGTTATTGTTTGTTTTTTTTGTGCTGAGTCAACACTGTTCTATCTGTTTGCTTTAAAACATCTACACATATGATAGAAGACCACAAAATGTATGCAACAGGCTTTTTCACTGACAATAGTAAGTTGAGTTAGGCAAAATAAGATATTTACTGAAAATACTACACTAAAAAAAAAAGGTTGCTATTCAAAAATAAATACATAAAGATTTATGCGTTTAGTAGCTTTTGAAAAATGTAGCATGTGTTAATATATGGGGAAATGTGTTTTTTAATGATCAATTGATGAAATATTTATACTAAAAAAATTTCTGAGAATACTTGTTTTGAAAGCATGATTTTAAAATTTATTTTTCTTTTGGTTGAAATTTGTAGCAGATAAAGCTGGAGAAGAAGAGGAAGTTATCCGGTGTGTCTGTAATATTTACAGAGATGAAGGTGTAATGATTCAGTGTGAAAAGTGTTTTGTAAGTATGATTAAAAATTTTGTTTAATCTATATCTTAAAAGTTTTCACTCAACACTTTATTAAGACTCTCCTAAACACACATTTGTAAGACACTTCATTTATCTGCAAATGCAAAATAGACTGATTATTAGATATGTTAGGTAACTGATTGATACATATAAATATGAAGCTCTAATTATAACACTATTAACCAACTACTAGACAATAGGCAGGAACAAAGATCTCTGACTTTCATAGAAGCTTGATATTGAATGGCCATCTAGAAAGAGAATTGATTTTAAAGGCCATATCTTTGAACACGTGTTGAGAGCAATTCTTAGGAAACTTACCAGTAATGGCAATTAAAGCAAAATTTGTCTGTCACCAGTAAAAATTGTGTCTGATAACTGCTGGAAAATGATTGAGGAAAGTAAGATTGAACAGCCTTGTAAAGTACCACATGTAATCGGACTGTATCCTGATTTCCTCAGTATAGGTGAGAAGTAGAGTGTCTCCAACATTACTTTCTATGAAACTACAAAACTGTTATATGACAGCTGAAAGCCAGTTTAAAAACTGCTTATCTAAATTGCAAATATAAAAACTTATCTTCACTGATACTTAACAATGTGGACATTGAATAATTGGAAACATACTCAGATAAGATGTGTTTCACCTTTTTCAGTACTGAGGGTAGTTAAAAATGTGGAGAAAAGCAAGCTAAGCACTTGAACTTTTTTGGCTCTTGTTGTTACACCAATGCAAACTTCTGAAGGTGGTGTAAATGTTCTTGTGCAGCGGTTTAAATCCTTTAGCTCTTCTTGAAAGATGAATTGTTTGGATGTTTCGTAGAATACCTTGACATTGTTGACAATTATGCCCATTTCACAGTATTACAATTCTGCTCTTCCAGAAAGACAAAATAATAATCCATCGTGCTTGTATTGTCCAAAATTAAGTTTGAAGAGCATAGTAGTTTCTTCAATCATCTTTCTTGCCATCATAGTCATAATATCTCAATACTTCAGACCCACAGTCCAACAAAATGTCCAGACTATTACTATGGTCAGAAGATGATTCAACCTAATATTAGGTTCTTTAACCCTGTGATTTTCAGATCTTCATGAATTTACAAAATGTGTGAACTGGTTTGTTTTTAAATGTAAATGTTTCACAAAAGTGGCTGACACAAGCATGAAATCTTTGTAGAGATTAATTTCTAAAATATCTTCAAAATTAACCATTACAAGTTAACATAAACTTGTATGAAAATACTTTTTTTGATAAAAAACACTTCTGTAGCCAGAGCAGCTTATGTAATTATTTCTATCTTTGTAACAAGTACTATTGATCATTTAAATAATATGTAGTGTGTATACCACACTAAAACTCAAAGCATGTTTTTTTTTACCCAACATTATTTAGTCCACAATTAAAATCTTATTGTAAGACAGATAAGTGGTCTTCAAAGGCACTCTACGTGTTTCAGTGACAATTCTCTATATCCTTGGGAGTGTAAAAAACAAAAACCGTATAAATACATGAAGCCGTTGGTCATGTGACTACTTAGTTTACATACTTAAAAAAGACCACACCATCTACTTACTTCATTCGTATTTAAGATATAATTATTTTTACTGTGTTTCATTATTTCTGTAGTTTATCTACTAATTCTAGCTATCATATTAATTGGTTGAGCCAAAATAACAGTTTTTTACTACTTGATAACACGACCAGTATAATTCAGCTAGTGCAGAGTTTTCACTTTTATTTTTAAAATTTCTTATAGTTTGACCAATTTATACACAACCACATTCATATTCAATTTTATAAATACCTGTTTTCACCATTATATTGATTTCATCTTTAGTTTTATTTAATATTTGACTCATTTTATTTTAGTCTATTTATTGTAGTCTATAAATTTGAATAAGATTTTTGTTTTGGTTTTTAAATTTATGAAAAATTTGACATCACAAACCTGGGACATATGGTGGAACTAACATTTCCTTTTTATCTATTCTATCAGATGTTGATTTAAGCTTACTTTATTGATTATTATTTGTAATTTTATTAAATTTTCTAATGGCTCCATTGACAATATTAGGTGAGAAACCTCTAGCTAATTCTATAGATTTGATTACTAATGGTTCATTTTCTAAATCTTCTTGTTTAGAACATAATTTTAAAGACCTGTGAACATAAGAATAAAAAGCTGACGTTTTTTGTGTCTTCATATGACATAATTGGTGGTGTGTCATCATGATAACAGAAAAGGGGTTTATGACAAACAGTACTTTCTAGCTTATTTTTGTTTTTTTTTACTAATACATCCAAAAATGGTAAACTATTATTTTCTTCAGTTTCATTCATAAATATATTGACTAGGTGGTTCAAGATTATTTAAGTAATTAGTAAAACTAACAATTTTTCATTTCCATGCTGCCACACCACAAAAGTGTCATCCATATACCTAACCCATATTTTTGTTTTTCACACTCCTGGGGATGACATCTAGAGTGTCTTTTAAAACCATTGATTGGTCTTGGAATAGATATTTTAATTGTGCAATAAGCAACGTTGATTGTTTGAATATTTTAAATATTTACACAAGTTCCTTAAATTTTAACCTTTTTGATATTCAAGAATAGAATTTTGTGCCTTACTGTAGGTACCCGGCATGGCCAGGTGGTTAGGGCGCTCGACTTGCAATCTGGGGGTCGCAGGTTCGAATTCCCATCCCGCCAAACATACTCGCCCTTTCAGCCGTGGGGGCATTATAATGTGAAGGTCAATCCTACTATTCGTCTGTAAAAGAGTAGCCCAAGAGTTGACAGTGGGTGGTGATGACTAGCTGCCTTCCCTCTAGTCTTACACTGCTAAATTAGGGATGGCTAGTGCAGATAGCCCTCGCGTAGCTTTGCGCGAAATTCAAAATACAAACAAACAAACCTTACTGTAGTTCTGTTATAGCAAATTGGGGACATGACTTTTTTAATGTTTTTTTTTTTTCCCCTGAATATATACCATAATTTAATTTTAATGAACCAAGTCTTGCTATGTTTTTAAGTTTTCACTGTTTTTACAAAAATTTCCAACATCTTAGCTCATAGTGCCATGCTAAAAATTGATTTAGTTAAACCTCTGTAAGCTGTTACAAATGAAAAAGTGATCTTTTAATTGTTGATGTAATTTTGAGGAAAACTGATTAAATCCTACCCTTAGCATCAGTGTACCATCCATAAAGTGGAAATGAAATTATAAACAGAAATTTAAATTTTAAAAAAATGAATAAAAATTTGCAATAAAAAAGTGCAGTTAAAGCTAGTTTGAAAAATAGCAAATGTTTGGTATAAATAATTTTAAAAAATGCTCGTTGAATTGTAAATAAAACAGGACATGACCTCATGGTTATCATATCCAGATTGTGAAACCAAAGATTCATGGTTCATATCCTATTGCCTCAGAAATGTGCTCTGCTCTTTGGAGTTGTGGGTGCTCTATAATAGTGTTGGTTTGGTCATACAGATTGTGGTGGTGGATGATGTTGACTAGCTGCCTTCCTTCAAGTCTTATCGGCCCCAAATTAAGGACAGTTGTGTGCAGTACCTCATATTTAGCTTTGTGTGAAAACAAACATGTAAATATTTCTATTTAAATAACAGTATGTATCTGTGGTCTTAACAAGACCATGAAGGATCATCATTTCAGTTGAAAAAAGGGGACCATCTCACTTGCACTAATTCAACATTTTTAGGAACCTTACACTCACCTCATGGAAATTCTTATATCACTTAAGCCATAGGCTTTCTGGGTAGAAGGCAGACATCTCACTTGCATAGGAGAAACTTCAGTTTTCAGTGAAATACTTAATGAATGCACATGATATATTTTTAAGGGTGAAACACAAAATATTTTAATTAAAATCATGTTGGCCATTAGAACTTTAGGGAAGATTGTCATTTTCAGGTATGTTTTTTGCACATTGTACTTTAATGTTTGGTATTGCTTTTTGTCACTACTTTTAACCTTAATAGGTTATTGTAACTACTGTACAGGGCTCAAAATTAACAGTGGTTCTATGACAAAAATCCAGTAATTTTTAGTGTTTAGCTAGTGACCATCAAGGGACACTGACATTTTTTTCTTCCAGTAGATAATTCAGACATAATTATGAATACTTAGACCAGTTGTAAACAGTGGACAAATTTAATCTTAAATAGCTGGCTCCAAGCACATTTATGTGAAAAAAACACTATATGATAATTGATCATGATTGATAAACTTTTCATTAGCTTGTTGGACATCATTCTTGTGCATCCTTCAGTGGCATTCTCCACTTTTTTTTTATTCATAGTACAAAATTTAGGTATCAAAAACATATATATGTAGAATTTGATAGTATGTTAAAAAATTAAAAATGTAAATGCAAAGATTCCTGGAATTTTTGTCGTTGTTTATTTGTGTATCTGCTAGAAACTTTTATAATAACAGACAAATACTTGCCATTAATCATAAGGCTAGTTTCAAACCCTTCTGTTGAAATATTGAAAAAAAGGTTTTGTGATTATCAATCAGTTGCAATTTCACCCCATAATTTTGGTGCACCAAAAAGAATGTATAATATGTTTAAAAATGTACTTACTGATATAATTAACATGTAACAGTTTATAATAATTGTTGAGCTATATGTAAATAAAAAAATATGTTCCCCAATATTATTTCTTTATTGCCATGACATTTGAACATTAGCACCCTGTTTGCACCTCAACTTCAGTATTTTCAAATGTGTATGCTACTGCCAGAAACATGATTATTCGTTTTTGAAAACCAAAAAATTTCATTGTATCCATCTTTCTTGTATACCAGGTTTTAAAAAATATTTTCTAATCTTTACATAAGTTTCTTGATTTATCTTTAATCAAAACCATAGAATCTTGTAATTTCAAAGCTTTGTGTTATATTGTCCTTGTAGCTAAATTATGAATTAATTGCAAAAACTTTATTTGTTCTAAGTTAAGTGTTTTAAGTGTTCACACCAAACTTTTAAATCCAAGTATACTGAGTTTACCACAATACTATTTTCACTGCTGTAAAGATTGTTATGTAACAAACTCTTAGAAACAAGAGGTAAAGTGAACTTGATATTTACAAGAAAAGATCAAATATATCTAATGATGATTTTTTATATTTATCCATTGAAAAACAGGAAGCATTCTTTTTCTCATTTGTTATTATGTTTTTTAAAGGTTTGGCAGCATTGTGACTGTGTAGGAGCTGATGATAGTGTGGAGAACTACCTTTGTGAAATGTGTGATCCTAGAGAGCTTTCGAAGGTTAGTCCTTTGTGCATGGTGTCAGTCTATTGGACTGATGCTGTAATTCAAAAGTAATATTTACTGTAATTTTGAGTTTACTCTGTATATCTTCACAGTATCTTTTAGTAAATGTTAAAGTCTGTTGTACACAAAAGAATCAAGATTTGTTAACTCCTTCAGCACAAGCTCGATCCCTGGGACCGACCTTATAACCATTTGGTGCTGATTATAGTTTTCATGTTATAACTTTTAGATTATGTTACGTATCACAATTTTGAAAGGTCTGAAACTGAGTTAAATGTTATTTTAAATTTAGTAGTTAAATATATGCTGATATATCTCCAATTTATGATATTTGCCAACAAGATTGGTACACACAGTTTTTAATACAAATATGTTTTAATATACAAACAACAATA